TTTGGGATGGGGAGATGGCACAGCGGGTAAGAGCACTTGTTGCACAAGTATGAAGACCCACATTAGATCTCCAGACCCATGTTTCATGCCTGTAACCCCAGTTGGGGAGGAGGTGGAAGAGAGTTATTGCAGTTTACTGGCCACCAGCCTAGCACCAGGCTCAATGAGAGACCCTGTCTCAAAGGAATAAGGTGGAGAGTGATAGAGCAGGAGACCCAACATCCTCTCCTGGCGTCTACATGAGCACGCATGCGCACACACACACACTGTGAGTTCTGCTCCCAGAGGGCTAAGTGAATCCTGTAACTGGATCCTAGTGTGCTGCTGTCCCCTCTGCATCTGGGCAGCATGCAGGGCAGTGCCCAAAGGGAAAGGGACCACTCATTCAAAGATGTTTGCATGTTGCTGACTCCTTCACGCTGCCTTGGCTGATCCAGACATGAGACTACAGGGTTTGAACTGGTAAGCTCATTTATAGAGTTCTTGCTCCTAGGATGCTTAGTGATTGTGAAACTTGGAGGTGTGTGCAAATAAAGAAGTGACAGCATTGCCTAGAGGGACACCCTTCGTTCATACAGACACACCACCTGTTATCCACACCACTTTTTTGGATGTAGGGGACAAAGTCCTGCAGGCCTCTGACTCATAACTCCTGCCTCTGCCTCCTGAGTGCTGGGGTTACAGGCCTGGACTACTCTGCCTGGCTTTCCTTACCATTTCTTACTCTACCCTTGGTTCATCCTGATACTTGTACCAACTCTCAAATCCAATGGCAATCTCCCTGTGGAGCTGTGGCTTTGAAAGGCCAAGGCTGTAACAGCCACTTTAGAGAATGGCTATTCTCACGTTGCTGGATTCCTGATTTCACCTTCCAGATGGGCACCACCTGTGGCTACATCTTTCCCTCTCCTTGCTCTACTTCCTGAGGCTGACTGGTTACAGTGCACACCCCAGGCTGTCTTGGAACAGAGCACAGTATCGTCTTTTCAGGAACATTTATGGGCTGCCCTCATATGTATGGCATTTAACAAAGTTCACTAGTACAGGGCAGAAATCGGTAACTTAAAACATCACACTTGATGAGTTGATTCCTAGGAACAGTCTGTGAGGAGGAAGGAACATAGATGTTAGCCCTAAAAAGAACATTAGCAGCCACTTAATCCAACCCCATTTTTTGTAGATGTCAAAATGAAAGGCTCCTGTGAGTTGGCCAGTTGGGCAGTAGTATGTGTTGACCATGTCCCCATGCTGTTTCTATGAATGTAAGGATCCATCTAGGCTGCCTATTGAGGCTGTGAAATAAAAGTGGAAGAGCTTCGAGTTGTCCTTACTAGTTAATGGTAAGCCACAGAAGTCCCCAGGGCAGAGGCTTTTTGGTTTGGGGAGTTGTCTATTTTGTTGTGAAGAAAATGGAAAATGGCCCAGGTGTCATAGCTGGGAGTCCAGAGAGGTGAAACTCTCTATGCCCAGATGAGAGACGTTTGGGATGAAGGCTACAAACCTTAGTGTGGAAGGGGCAGCTGGGGGATGGTATTGTTATTATAATATGTATTCAAATAGAAAGTCAGGACCATCCAAATTATTATGGAATCCCCAAAGGAAGTACAGTCCATCTTGAGAGAGACAGCCTTTGGTTCTCAGAGGTGTGTGCTACTGAAATTCAGGAGGAGGCTGTTCATTGGACGGGAGCAGAAGCTGCCAGAATAAGAGGAGCTGAGCTTCAGATCCCCACCCTGCAGTGTGCAAAGGCAGCTGGGAGTCATAGCAAGAGGCTGACCCCAGAGCCCTTCCCAGAGGTGAAAAGAGTTGAATTAGAATAGGGGTGTGCAGCCAGGAGAGGGGCATGGGGTGGACGCGGAGTGAGCTATTGCTCTGCTGGCTGGGAAACTGCTTTACCGTGTACATAATCAACTTCATTCTACACTGGCCGATTAGCGGGGGCCATCCCTCTGCTTCTCTCTGTTTTGATCCTGTAGTCAGCTGCAGAGTTATAGATGAAGTGACAAGGATGGCGACTTGATTGGATCCAGCTGCCTGGAGCAAGTCAAGGCCAGAGGGGCCCCTGGGGGAAGGAACAGAGCTCAGAAAAGACTCCAAAGGAATCCAAGACCCACACACCTCCAGGGCTTCTCAATGCACTGTAGTTTAGTGTTCTGACTCAGTGTCACCAAATGAGGTCCCACTGGAGGCAAGGCTGAGCAACTTCAGCTAACAAGAAGGGTCCCTTACTGATACCCTAACAGCATTTGGCTCTAAAACTAAGCAAATAATAATAACAAATAATAAAAAAGAGATGATGCTGGCTGCAGATAACTCGAGGGGGCACTTGTAAAGAATCCTGGGAAAGGGATTTGAACTTTTTTTGCATGGAGTATAGAGCTGTGTTGACTGTAAGTCTAGGGGAAAGGCAGCTTCCATCTTTAGGAGCAGTGTCAGCTGGTTGGATGCCCTCCCCCCACCCCCACCGCCTTCCCAGCCCTGGTGTGTAGTTGTGCATGCTTGGGGCCCTTCAGGTGGTCTGTGTCAACTGAGGGAGGTTAGCCAGCCTGGTGCTAGGCTTGAATGGGTGGGGCCTGGTGCCAAGGAAAGAAGCCAGAGGTACATTTAATGGGATCTGTCCAAGCCCACAGATAAGAAGTTACAGTTCACTCAATTGTTGCTGCTCTGCCTCTCTATGACTGGAATAGTATCATATTATTTTAATTTGCCAAAATACAAACTCCAGAGCAGAAAGCGGCCAGCAGCAGCTCACCATACCCCAGGAAACGTCTGACATGAATTCGTTTGTCTCCAGCTATTAGGATGATGCCTGTAGCCGATTAGCTCTATTGGTTACAACATGGTGTTAATGAGGCCAAGGCTGTGCAGCTGAGAGCCTTGTTTGTGCACCAGTATTACACAAAGGAAAGTCTTCCTTATAACCCCAGACTATGCCCAAGATACAGGTCAGACATCCCATAAAATCCTGAGATGATAGACTGGGCAAACACAATGTAGTGACTCAGCAGATTTCCCTCCTCAGCCTCTCAACAGCAGTTTCAACACATACCTCGTCATGATGGGTTATTCTTGTGCTTGTCACACTCATAGCTCTCATGTTTGCCATTGGTGCTCATCACTGATGAGTCCTGCACAGGCTTCCTTTCTGGGTTGAGTTCTGTTCTGACTGTGAAAGAAAGAGATGGGCTCTCTGGTCCCACTCCACAGCCCCTTTGTGGACTCAGCAGTGGCTATGGACTGCTGTGGTCTGCTGCTGCTTTTCTTGGGGCTTGAATACCACAGTGAATAAGATAGCTAGTGGAAATTCTTCTAGAGAAAAGTCAATACAGAATAACTAAAGTAATAACAGAAACTGAAACTTTGTAAAGAAAAGCAAGGGACTGAAGGTACTTGGGAAGAGAGAGGCTGGTTGTGACTGGTATTTGTCTTAGCTAAGAACCCAAGAAGCTCCCTTGAAGGTAGATCTGTGAGATTGAGGCCAGTCTGGTCTACATGGAGTTCCAGGCCAGCTGAGGCTACAGGGAGACCCTATCTCAAAACGGGCGGTGGGGGGTGCGCTGGAGAGGTGGCTCAGTTGTTAAGAGCATTAACTGCTCTTGCAGAGGACCCAGGTTCAATTCCCAGCACCCACATGGTAGCTAACAACCATCTGTAACTCTAGTTCCAGGGGATCTAATGCCCTCTTCTGACCTCCTCAGGCACTGCACAACATGGATGCACTTACATACATGCAGACAATACACTCATACACATAAAATAAAAATAATACTTTTTAAAAGGAGTTCTGTTGTGGACATTGTTAGCATTGTTAATTTTTCCTGGGAAGATATGAACAATGTCTATTCACACTTGGTTGGGTACCAGTGACAAACGAAAGGATCTGCTGTATCAGAGCCTAACTTCGTAAACTACTGGCTTTATTGGGCTTATTTATAGGAGCATAAATGACCCCAAAACACCTGCATTGTAGAAGTTCCACCCAATAGGGGGGAGTATATCCTGAAATCTGGGGTAGATGAACCCCCTTCAATTAACCTTCCACCTCCTATGTACTGTAGGACTCCTGAGACTACATACACCTGGGGAGGAATTGCATATAGCTAGGAGGGGGATGCAGGAGGCAGGGAGTGACTGAAATCTCAGGTGAGGGTCTAATGACTTCCCAGCCCCTTTCTATAAAGGAGCTTAAACAGGCCCGATCTTTTTTTCTTTAATTTTTAAAATTTATTTATTTTTATTTCATATGTATGAGTGTTTTGCCTGCATGTATATAAGTACACCCATGTGTGCAGTGCCCATGGAGGCCAGAAGAGGGCATGAGATCTCTAGAACTGGAGTTAGAGACAGTTATTAGCTGCCATGTGGGTGCTGGGAACCAAACCCAGGTCCTCTGCAGGATCAGCCAATGCTCTTAACTTCTGAGCCATCTCTCTAGCACTAACAGGCCCAGTCTTGTGAGTGTCTGGTGCAGGGAGTCAATGCTGTGTTGTCATCAGTGAAATAGGCTTTGTTCTTACTGAGTGTACAGATGAAGAATAAGCATAGCACAGCCACTCAACTGTCCTCATTCATGTCAAAGTGGTGACTATAAAAACTCAGTATCTATTTTTTAAAAAAACAAAACTTTTTCGAAAGCACACACTCATTCATATGACCTATTATATGACCATTAGAAGCCTAAGATAATCCTATACTCTGGGATATGCTGAGAATACCACTTGATTTCTACATTGGAAAGGTTCTTAGAGACAATGCCATTGGGCTAAACAGTGCAGTGTACTAGGCATCAGTGAAGCACTTCTGGTACCTTTCCTCATGTATGATTTATTCCGACCTAAAGGAGGGGGACAAGGAGATGGTTCAGTGGGTAAAGAGCCTGAATGACAGTAGCAGAATGACAAGCCACCCTCATTGGGGCTGTTGAGGCCAGGCTGGTACTTAAGCACAGAATGGGTGCTGTCTACACTGGAGATGGCTTACTGGTGTGCTTCTGTCCCTAGGTGTGGCGGGAATTTCCTGACCGGCTGGTGGGGTATCCTGGCCGCCTGCACCTCTGGGACCATGAGATGAACAAGTGGAAGTATGAGTCAGAGTGGACTAATGAAGTGTCCATGGTGCTCACCGGTGCTGCTTTCTATCACAAGGTAAGGCTGCTGGCATGCTGAGGGTGGGCATGCTGAGGGACCAGGCACACTGACGGCACATTGAGGGAGTGGGCACACTGAGGACATACTGAGGGAGTGGGCACACAGAAGGCACACTAAGAGAGCGGGCACTCTGAGGGTGGGTCTTTGATTGATTCACTCCATTTGTTTTCCAGACCTATTGCTGGTTTAGGAAAAAAAATATTTACTTGAAAGTCTTAGAAGAGCCATATTGTATAAATAAGAAAATACTAGTGTTCATCTTAGCAAAAAGAGAAGTAGCTTGCTTTTATATCACTTAGAGACAGCGTTGTTACTATGGGCTGCTTTTCTCAGCCTGCCTTTACCTGCCTCTCCATGCACAGACAGCTGTGCCTTTCTCATTGGCCACTCTTCATTGCTACAAGCATTTGCCACTCACCTTTCTTCATAGACAGTTATTTCATAGCATAATGGGTAATAAGCCATTATGTTAATGTTCCTTAAATCATATGCAACTATTTCTCAACCATCAGATATTTAATTTTCATCATTTCAGATCATGTCAACATCTAATGCTTTATTAGCAATTAATATCCTTTTCATAGCTGTTCTCATGGCTACTGAGGTAAATTCCTAGAAGTAAATTATATTCAAAGGCATCATCATTTGTTTTTGTTTTTTTAGATATATGTATATATCTCCTGTGTGCCTGTGCAACCAACAAAATATGAAATTGTCTTTCCCTCTGTTGCATAAGACATATTTTTAAAATGACACTTAGATGTTTCAATGAATGAAAATGAACCTTACCGTGTAAACTTTGGTTCAGCCTCTGGTGAAGTTGCAGGGCTCAGTGCCTTTGTGTTTATCAGTTCTTTGTACTTCATCGGTTCTAAGAATCATCACTTTGTACTTTTGACTTCTTTACGACTTATTTTTATTATTTTTATATATTATTATACAAATATAATTATTTACATATTTTACATTATTTATATATTATTTTTATTATTTTTAATAATACACACACAAGTGCAGGTGTTCACAGAGGCCAGAGGTGTTGGACCCCCTGAAGTTGGAGTTTAAGGTGGTTGTGAGCTGCCTGATGTGGGCACCAAACCTAGGTCCTCTACAGGAGCAGCAGGTACTCTTAACCACTAAGCTGTCTCTCTAGCCCCTTGACTTTTTTTCTTATTAGGGAGAGATTGAAGACTGTACTCTTGATTTACAGTATTCAGTCCATCCTTGATGTCCCCCTGAGAGCATGGGATTGAATTAAACAAGAATAACTTGCCTGTTGTCAGCTACCACTCAAAGAACTGGTGTCTAGAGAGATCTGCTCGGTGCAGGAGAGCTTGCTTACCTATCTTTGTCAACTGCTGGGTTTAGTTAGCTCATCACAGCTGCTCTTTTGATTTTCAGGATTCTCTAAGTCCAGAAATGGGTTTTGGCCTTAGTAAAACAAACAAAAGAGTCTAATGTATATTTGGGGATTTATCATAATGGAGTATATACTCTTGTCTATATGTCTATTGATGTTTGTTTTTGGAAGCAGGGTCTTATGTTGCCCAGGCTAGCCTTGAATTTATAATCTTCCAGCTGCTAGGATTAAAAATGTGTACTTCCATGCCTCCTATTTATTTTTGACCTGTTAATTTCTTTTTTACATGTGGAGATTATGTAATTTCAGGTTTACCCCGTTTTTCTGCTTTTAAAAGCACATGCCTTTGTAAAAGAATGCCCATTTCATTTATTTCTTTACATTTATTTATTGTGTGTGTGTGTGTGTGCGCACAAACATGCTACAGTGCATATGTGGAGATCAGAGAACAACTTGCAGAGTCAGTGCTTTCCTTCCACTCTGTGGGTCCCTGGGATCGACCTCAGGTTGTCAGGCTTGGTGGCAAGTACCTTTACCCCTTGAGCCATCTCTCTGGCCCAAGAATGACCATTTTAAAGACATTGAGCCACTTACCTTCCTTTTTGCCACTTCTTCTGATACTTCTTGTGATGAATCTTGTCCCCATGCTACTAAGTTGCCCTTGATATGTCAGCCCAAGGGAATTGCTATTCATAGGTTTCTTCCTTTTGTCTCACATGACAGTATTTTAATTACCTGTATACCTACAAAATGCCTGGGGACATCAAGAACTGGGTAGATGCGCACATGAACTGCGAAGACATTGCCATGAACTTCCTGGTGGCTAATGTCACGGGGAAAGCTGTCATCAAGGTAAGTGGCTCTGCTACTCCTTGCTGGGCTCCCTTGCACTAGGCTCTCTTCCGTGAGCCTGAGAAGTTCTGATTGTAAATAAGGCTCTGGTCTCCATGCTTAGATACTGGAACATTTACGCAGTTGTCCTAAACTTTGGTTTTAAAGATGTGATGACTAGTTTAGCAATATCTTTCTTTTTAACTGAAGCTGAGAATACAGAGAGATCCCATGGGAGGTCTTTGGAGCTGAAAAGATACCAATTCCTCAGATCAGATTCTATGATGTGGATACATGGAAGACTCACACTCCTTTGTTTGGCAGAGCTATCTTGACCTTGTCCCTTCTGGGCTAGACTTCTGCCCACTTGTAAAATTGGTCAGTGCCAGGGACCTGCTGGCCTAGAAGTGTCAGTGGCCTGGAGCACACACTGGCAGCATGGGTGGCACCTCACCGACTCCCCCTCCATATACCCCAGCTCTCCAGGTGACTCATGACAGTGGATTATAAGAAAAATGGAAGAGTGTAAATTGTGAGGGCTGCTTTTCAGGGTCCCAGGCCCCAAGTTTGTTTTGATACTTAGCTTGGCTGCTTGCTCTGGGTGGAAGTTCTTGAGTTCCAGCCTTGAATGGCTTTCTCTTTCTCCCCATGTTCCCCTGTTTACTCATCTTCATAGACACCTCTCCTGGGTTTGCTCGGGTTTGCTAGAAAGATCGTTAGAGGTCTAAGGTTTAGGAAGGTCAAAAGGAGTCAGGTGAGCAGATTCAGAGGGTGAGGGATGATTGGAGGCGTTTCCTGACCAAAGAGAGTTTCAAAATGAGCTGGCATTCAGGAGCACTCTTGCTCCGGTATTTGGCCTTAGCAAGAGAAGGCAAAGACTGCCTGTTGGAACCAAGGTTAGGCTACAAGTTATGGGAAGTTGTATTTCATCGCCCTTATGACTGCAAGAACAAATGGTGTTTATACAAGGACCTTGGCAGTGAGAAAACAGTCATTAAACAGGAATTAAGTAGCTTGTCATCACCACTTCTTTCCAGTTACAGAGGAAAAAGCCCTCCAAGCCACTTTTATTGGGCCCTTGTGAGTTCTGCCGTTGGCTGAGACAGCCAGGATTGAATGAAGGAATACTGAGGGGTGTGTGTGTGCGCATGCGCATGCATGTACACGTGTGGACGTGTTCATGAAGCATACAGTACCTCAGCTCACAGCACAGAAGCCTGTAGAGTGGTCTCACAGCATGGCTTAAAAGTGCTGGGCACTGACAGCCAGGTATGTTTCGTTCTTGGCAGGTGACCCCACGCAAGAAGTTCAAGTGTCCAGAATGCACAGCCATCGACGGCCTCTCACTAGACCAGACTCACATGGTAGAGCGGTGAGTGAGCCTCTGAACAGAAGTCCATCCTGGCCTCCGGTCCCCATTTCCTGCCCCAGGCCTGTTTATGGGACTGTGTTGGAGATGTTAAAACAGCAACTGGTAGCCACAGTCACCTCCTTTTGCACTGGGGGAATTGGGTTAGTTCAAGCACAGGTCACCCTACGAATTAATTTGGAATGCTATTTACTGAATTTGTAATGGCTGGAAGGGTCTTAAAAATATAGTTGGCCTTAAGCTCTAGAAGGCAGATCCTCTGGTGGACTAAGCGGCTATCTGCAGTCACTTGAGTGGAAGCAAGCTCATTCTAAGGAAGCACTGGCTTGTCTCTTGGGGTAATAGCTCAGTATTACAGAAAAACTTGATTAGAAAGAATTAGACCCAATCCAGTGGAGGCGAAATACCTTTTCTGACACCACTATACCACCTGGCAAGTGCAGGGTCCAAAGCCATGCTGGGTAGGGGTGGGTCGGCTAGGTGGCTCTGAAGCAATCTCTCTATGTCAATTCCGTCAGTTCCTCAGCAAGCACGCTGGTGTGTAGCATGTCATCCTGGCTTGAGGTGAGCAGGTAAGAAGCAGGACATGGCTTGTGTCTTTCCTCAAGACCATTAGAATCTTTACTAGAATGTCCTGGTTCCAAACCTGCAGAGTGCCTGAATCCAGTCTTCCAGAAGGCCCCTCCTTAGACTGCAGGCTCTGACATCCCATCAGCACAGTTGTCAAGGGACCAAAGTGCATAGGGAGAATGTTAAAGTGACCTTTCAGAACAGACCTCCAGTTCAGATTTCCACTGGTCACATGTGCATCTGCTTACAGCATTTATCTCTGAAATCCATAAGCCAAGAGAAAATCCTTTGGGCCTGGAGGATCCCCCCCCCCCCCCCCCCCCCCCGCCATAGGACGTTTTCTACTTGGTCTTGGGTTCTTTCTTCTAACTCTAAATTGTCTTGCTCATTTATAAATGTCTTACCCAAAGGCCATGACCTATACCAACCATTGATGTGAAATCATATATTATTGTGGATTTTGGAGGTATCTGCCCCCAGTAGTATTAAAAAGCATTGCACCGTCAATTATCTACCATAGCCGTTTGAAAGAGGCCCCAGTTGTAATTCTGCCTGAATACATGAAATGGTTATTTCAATCTGCCCTATTCCCTATGTCGGGGAAAATTCATAGCATTAAGGCAGGTGGTTATTTGGCTGAGTTAACACGGTATAGGGACAGGAAATGAAGGGAGAAAAGTTGACCCAGTGATGTCCTTGAAGTTCATGCTCCAGTTAAACAGCCCTTCTCCAGCACTGTTGAGATCACAACAAACTTAAAGGTGTTTCAAAGGTGGTAACCAAGTTGTTAGGATGCCCTGAATGGCATGGCTGAGGGAGGTATGGAGCCTGCTTCTTCAGAAGAGACCCCCAGAAACAGAGGCCTAGTTGTTGGCTTGAATCCAATTGTGTTCACTTATAATTACCAACAACAGCACATGCGTACACACAACAGACATTTATACATTTATATGTATAGAAAACCTAACTCAGCTGTTTGGGGTAAGTCCTTTAAGGGAGGTGCAAAGTTTTATAACTAAAGAGAGGAACCTTCTTTTTGCCAGGAGGTTATTCAAAATAATTTCGTCAAAGTGGTGGCATATAAAGGGAGCCTTCAGAAGTCATCAGACCCAGTGGTTAAGAATGTTTGCTGCTCTTCAGAGGACCTGAAGTTCAGTTCCCAGCACCCACATAGGGCTTCTCATAACTGTAACTCCAGCTCCAGAGCCCTCTTCTCCACAGGCACCCATCCACACAGACCCACACAAAACACACACACACACTGGGCAGGGGGCATGAATAAAAATAAGTGTTTTTAAAAATGACCAGACCTCAACCTCCTGTTGTAAAATGAGGTCAGAGGCAGGGGAACTGAGTGGTCAAATCAGCAAATTCAAGGTTGATTTGGCAGGCATGAAATTGTTCAGTTAGTGCCAGACTGCAAGGACTCTGAATCCCCAGTTAAGCTCGGGCTTTTTTCCCCCCCAGGCTCTAGTAAACTTTTGAGGGCATTTGAACTGGGAACTATCTTGATTAAGGAATTACTCTGAGATTAATTTAGAAGTAGCTCTTAGAACTATCCTAATTTGCTTTTCTGTTGCTAAAATAAAATACTCTGACTAAAAGCAACTTTGGGAGGAAAGGGTTTATTTCAGCTTACACTTTCAGATCACAGTCCACACTGAGGGAAGGAGCAGGAGCTCAAGGCAGGAACCTGGAGACAGGAACTGAAGCAGAGACCACAGAGGAGCCGTGGTCACTGCTTGTTCCTCCTGAGCTCCTGTGCTCAGTCAGATTTCTTATACAGCCCGGGACCACCTGCCCAAGGATGGCACTGCCCACAGTGGGATGATGCCTCCCACATCAACCAACAATCAAGGCAGTCCCCCACAGACATGGCCACAGGCCAGTCTGATCTGGGAAATCCTTCAGTTGCGATTCCCTATACCCAGATGACTGACTCTTGTATCAAGTTGACCATAAGAATTAACTAGGACAGGATGGAATGAATATTGAAGAGACTGGAGAAGGAAAGCTAGCTTGACTCCTTGAGCTAAACTGCATGTGGAAAAAAAGACATATATTGCACAAAATTTTTCCAAAGAAAAACGCTGGAGCCTCCTGAATAGGTAGGTGTGGGGAAACTGTGGGAAGGGAGGTGAATCAAGAGAAATGGCAGTGCCTTTCAGAGGGTAAATGACACAGGAGGGAGAGGGGTGAGTGGTTGGTGAATGCTTGTCCCTTGAACAGTGTAATAGATGTGGACAGGAGATTTTAATCATCGTGACATCGGAGAACAGGGGGGTATATGGCTCTGAGAGGTTGCCCTCTCCAGATTTCTGTACTGAGCAGGCAGTTGAAATGAAGAACATTAGAAAGAAGGTTAAAGCAAGGATAGATGTTTGGAAGTTAACCTGCGCACACATGGCAGTTGAAGAAAAGCCAAAGGAAGAATCCGAAGAAATTCTTCCATTTGAGAGACAGAGTAAGTAAATCCCGAAGCAGCTCCAGGAGACCCCAGTGGAGACCCTGATAGCCCAGCCAAGAGCTGGGGTGTGCAGTGCCCAGAAAAAGACAGGAGCAAGGGACATCCACACTCAGAAAGTATATGAACTGAATGGCTCTTGGTGATGTAAAAAGTCAACATCAAAATGTGACCAGGTCAAAGGGTTATAGTGTGGGTCAGTGATGAGCAACTGTAGTACAGTCTGTAAACTGCCCTCTGAGAAATCTAGTAGTGCAGAAGGAGGAAATGAAGTCCATTAGCAACTGTGAGCAAAGCTAAGTAGGTTGAAGTCTGAGAAACCAAATTAAGAAATCAGGTGCTCAGGAGGCAGAGGCAGGCTGATCTCTGTGAGATCAAGAGAGTTCCAGGCCAGCTGGGGCTGCACAGAGACCTGTCTCAGAAAAATCTGTAGAAATCAGGATCTTAGACTGTGAAGGAAGCTGTGATTTGAGCCATCTAGATTGCCCAGGAAGTGGAGTTTGTGTACAACCGTTCTGTGATCTGTTTTCAGTAGTTCCCTTTGTAGAACACACACTTTTCACACAACAGTAGTAGGGGAAGCCATTTCACCAGCGTATGGCTTCGTGTTGGGTTTGTGGTTCAGCACACTTCTTCCGACTGTGTGTGAACTCTGGGACCAGATCTCAGCTGAATGGGAGTAGCTTCACTCCTCCTCATCTCTTTCCAGAGCCTGCTAGTTCTTAAAGATCCAGAATTCTGAGCTGTTTGCTTTGACTAGTATCATTGCCAAGAGCACATGCAACCAGTGTTGATTTAAAAGTAGCCTTTCCTCTAGTTAGGTGTTTACCACTTACTAGATGTCTGACCAAAGGAAGTAAGTGTACCTCACCTGAACTTCAGTTTTCTCATCATATAGCAAATTACTCTGTCCATTCATAGATTCAACAAACAGCTACTAAGCATCTTTGTTTCAAGCACTGTGTTATGTGTGGGGGACAAATCAAGTGTAGGTTGTGAAGACCTGTGGCTCAGATACCCTATGTCTCCCACACTGCCCTAAAGACACCTGGTTCCACTAGGTTGTATATGTTTGAAGAGGAAACAAGGTTCATAGCCCTTTCTTTCCCAGACCCCTCCAGCAGTCAGACACAGGCACTGGCAGTTTAGTGTGAACAACCATTGAAAATTGGAGCAGGAAAGGAATTCTGATGGGTGGCTGGACACCCAGCAGTGTGACCGAGGTTGTCTGCCAGCAGTCAGCCACTCTCTGTCACCCTGACCTATTCCACAGCCAGATCCCCTGTGGGAGACAAAGTAGGCAGGCAAGGGAGGGCCTTTTACTGTCAAGAATGACCCCAGCATTACTTCCCCAGCACAGACTGTATGGAGGAAAGACATGCATAAGAGCTGGGTCAGCCAGAGCAGCCCTTGCAAGCCAGGCTGGGCTGAACCCCATGGCAGGTCCCTGTTGCCTATGCCTCCCTGGAAGACCTGGTTACAGAGGAGGCATTGCTATCCATACTCCCCACAGGGCTCTGGAGCACCTCTCCTCCACTAAGAACCAGGGTCCTTTCATATAGATACCACGGAGCCTACTCTGGGCCCGGCCAGGCTCCTGTGGCTAGGAGCTAAAGAAGAGCAGCTGCTCTGTGTGCAGACAGCCATCAGCAAGCAGGAACCCTTAGAGAGACTCTGTTTGACTGCCTCTGCTTTCACCCTGTGATTTGAAGGGAAGGCTGTTGTGCCTGGTCCCCATCACTTTCTTAGAAGTCATACTTCTGTTTTGTTTCTTACATTTTTTTTCTTTATTCTTGAGGATTTCATACGTGTATATAAAGAAATATGATCACATCTAACCTTTACTTCCCTCTTTCAATTCCCACCCCGCCCCCGACACATTCCCCCTTCCAACTTCATGGTTTTTTGTCTAGTTAGGGGAATCCTACCAGTAGCCATATCTTCAAAAAGAATGATTCTCCCTCCTCTAGCAACTATGCACTGCCAGTAGCTCTTCAGTAAGGGCGTGGAGGCATGCTGGAGATCATCTACCCTATCTCTTCCAAGATAGTCCCTGAGCCTTGGTTGGGGTGGGAGAGGGTACAGATGTCCCATTTAGGGCTGAGTACTGAGTCTTATTCTCAGCATTTTGACTAGTTATGCTTCTCTCCATTGACTGCTGCCCTCTGTAAAAAGAAGCTTCTCTGACTAAGGTTGAGAGCAGCCCAGGTCAAATAGCAATAGCAAATTCTATTCTAGGGCTTGTGACCTCTCTAGCTATGGGCTTTTGACCAGGATTACAGTATCAGACATAAAATTCCCTCCTGTAGAGGAGGCCTCACATCCAATCAGAAGGCAGTTAGTTACCCCATAACAATCATGTCATGATTGCATTAGTGAGCATGTCTTGCCTGGCATGCAGCAAGCAGGGTTAGACCACTGATGACTTCTCCCTAGCAGCCTGCAGAGGACCTTCTGGCATTATGAAAGCCAGCCAGCAGAGAGGAAATTTCCTGATCACTTTGAGATTGATTTCTCTATGTCCTGCAGCCAAAGTGTGTGGTGTCTTTAGGTCTTGCCATGTAGTTATGGTGGGTAACCAAGGGAGGGCAATAGCAATAGCCTGTGCTGTGTTGGAGAACTCTGGGGCCTCCCTGACCAGTAAATGTAGGGAGGTTTCCTATGCCTTGCACTGTGATTTTCATTTAATAACTCGTGTATTCTGGGAGCAACATTGTCCATTCATGCAGGGTAACTCCACAAAACACATGTGAAATGAAAGAAGAGGGGGGACACTGGGTATCAAGATTAACAGGTAATGAAGGTAGGAGGTTGAGGGAGAATGGGGAAGTGGGTGAGTTAACTAAAACTAAGGGTATATGAAAAAGCTTTATGGAAACCCACTAGTTAGTAAGCTAATTTCAAAATTTGAAAAGAAAACTTTTCGAAGAAAAAAAGAGTCCATCTTTTCACCAATCTCAAACCCTTGACCTCCTGAGTCAGGAGGAGGGAAGCCTGCCCAGTGGTGGAAGAGAGTGATGCACAGGGCACAGTCTACCACCAGTGCCAGCCTGAGGTTGAAACCAAGTCCCACCTCTTGCTAGCTCTGTATCCTTAGACAACTTACTTAACCTTTCTGAACCTTATTTTCTTAATCTGTAACATAAGGCTGGTATAAACCCAACCCTTTGTCAAGAGGGGTGAGGATGGGGGAGGAATACTTTTAGAAATAACAGGATATATAAGTAAACTGTCTGGCACAAAATAGGGGCTCAGCAGTTATTACCTTCCAACCTCCCCCCCTTAACCCATACAGTGAGGCTAATAAATAAAGCTGTGTCCTCTCATCTCAGTCTTTAACCTCAGGAGCTGGAATGCCTAGATTTGGCTCTGGCTCTTGCATATTTTTTTGACCTTTGTACATCAGCCTCTCTACCTAAGCCTTCCGACTGAGAGGAGGGACTGAGCTCTAGGGTTACCATGAGCACATGGTGGGCTATTAGGGCATAGAAAGCTCTCAGGAACATTTATATACATAGCTTATATGTATGGAGCATCTACTGCATGTAACTTTCTATGTGAAGCATCCACTGCACGTAGTTTTCTATATGGAGCATCTACTGCGTGTAGCTCAGCTTTATGGAGCAGCTACTCTATGCAGCTTATCTGTAGTATCAGTGGATCTGATGCTATGGGCTAAAAAGTTCATGCTGAAATTAAGACCAAGCTTTTCAGGAATGAGAGAAGAATTGATAATGCTGACTTCTTCACCTGCCCTCCCCTCACCATGTACAGATTTCTTCCTGAGCCCAAAGCGCTTGTATATTCATGTAGTTTGCAAGCAGTTTATGGTATGTCTGGGGACAGAGTGTCTGGGGACAGAGAGGTGCACTGTGGGTCTTGCAGCTGGTGGCCATTCCTCTCATCACCCGTGGCTGCTGCAGCTCTCAGGGCCCAGCTGCCTGAGGAGGCACTGACCCTCTGAAATCCATCCTCCAGGACCTGACTTCAAACGAACTTTTCCCAGGCTGCGCTTCCCCTCTGGTCTGGTGCTGATGCGTCCTCATTACCCATCTGTCACAGTCAGTTGGCCTGATTGAGCTGAGCCATTCTCATAAACAGAGCCTGACCTTCGCCTCTGAGGGTCAGCTCATGGACTTTGGGGGCCTGGGTGAAGCAGAGGAAGCTCATCTCCGTGTGCTCTTCAGTGCTAGGCTCTTGTTACCAAGTTGCTTCTGCTCCTGGCTCTGGGGTAGGAATGACCAAAGTCATGCACATGAGCTCTGTGTCAGAAGAGCAGTATGTGTGCCTGGCCCTTCCATGTCAGTCACTCATGGGCCTTCCGTGAGGGTTGTTTGAAACTCAGGTTCATGGCCCTCATCCCCTCTGCCTTGCATGCATCAGGCCCTCTCTTCTACTTAGCTTCAGCAGGCAGTGGCTCAGAAGCAACTGGCCTTTTCCTTTCTGTCCTCTGCCTTCCCTGTATCCAGCAGAAATGGGGTTAAGGACTGCTGGATCTAATCCACCTGGGTTTGAGGCCTGCTAGTGCTAGAAAAATGACTGGAATTTGAGGGGGAGGGGCAGGTATCCTGACCTGCTGGCCTGCAGACAGCACCCCTATTCACTTTCTCCCCCTGAACATAGGCAGGGACCCGTGGGTCACCTCACTTGTCCACACATTGCTGCAGAGCATAGCAGTGGCCTGGGGACCCTGGTGTTTCTCTTGTGGATGTGGTGGCTATGAAGGGCTTTGCTGTCTCTCAGACACTGACCATTTCTTTTCTCCTTGCCCCTCCCTCTTGTTCTGCTGGCCCCTGCCCTTCCCTACCCACCCCACAGGTCTGAATGCATCAACAAGTTTGCTTCTGTCTTTGGAACGATGCCTCTCAAGGTGGTGGAGCATCGAGCTGACCCTGTGCTGTACAAAGATGACTTTCCCGAGAAATTGAAGAGCTTCCCAAACATCGGCAGTTTATGAGGCATGGAGGAGGGGAGACAGGCCTTCCCACCTCTCTATGGTCTAGGGCTCAGGGTGAAGGTGGCCAGGGTGGGGGGTCTCACCTCCCCAAGCTCCCAGAAGCCTCTTGAGCTACATAGCAGCCCCTTGAGGCACACAACCCACCCTGTCCCCCCATCTCCAGTGGGTTCTCTGAAAATGCAGAGAGAAGAAGCCTTGGGGATGTGCTTCAGGTTTGAGCCCAGCAAAGTGCCCTCGGCTTGGGGTCCAAGTCACTGTCTCACTGGTGCACAACTGCCTGATAAGAGGTGGCTGCTGGCTACTTTAGATCCCTGGAGTCCTGGCAGAGGTGTTAGAGATGTTACATCACTGGACTCTGGAGGTGCTGCCAAACCCAGTACCTGTGGTTAGAACTGTGTTTAGGACCTGAGTCACCAGCCCAGGAGCCAAGTCATAGCCTGGCAGGCCCTGAACAACTCTTTGGTTTGGCTTTTTGATACAATTAAAATTATTTACTCCTTTTTCTACTGTTATGAACACTGATTCTCAGTCATCCAAGGACTCTCCCTTCTTCCTTGTACATAACCCCATGTTCTAGCCTAATGACCATCTGGGAAGATGCAGCCAGGAGAAATACCTGGCATCATGTGTATCAAGTACAAGGAGGGTCCAGTGCATGAGCATCCTAAGAGAAATGAGTCTGAGCTGCCAGAGGGGTCTTTTTGCCCCTGCCTTGGGTGTTTATAGGTATACTAGGAAGCAGGTGACCCCTGATTGCCAACCCAGAGTCACTCTGGCTGGTATTGTATTGTAAGAGCTCAAGGTATTGTGACCCCCGCCCACAGCGGATGCCCAAGTCTCCCTCATTTTTTAACTGTAGCTCTAACATTGCCCAGGGAGGTTCTGGCTAATGTTAAACGCTGCTGTAGCAACTGCTCCACAGCAGTTGCTGGGATATTTAAATCATTAAATTTCAGCATTTACTAATACTGCACATGTGTGAATTATACCTCTTTAAGCCCAGTTGATGAACAAATCTACTCTGGCAAATGTTAAATGTTATGAATTCAAAACAGATTTATCTGGCTCTAATATTAAGATTAGCCACAGTTTGGGCTTTAGCCATAACATATGTCCCCAGAACACAAAATACATAACAATTTGCTTAGAATATGGATATAATTACAGAAACCCACTCGTATGCTAGTCCAAGTCACTTGCATGCTACCCATTGTTCTGTTGATCTGCATGAAGGTGAACGGTGAATCTACAGCAGTCTCACAGGTCACCTCAGAGCTGACCAGGTGGCCCAGTGGGTAAAAGCACTGTATTCAATCCCCAGAACTGAGCCCCAGAGATTTTTTCTGACCTCCACAGTCATGTGTGCACCCACACTCACACAATAATAATACATTCTAAAAAATGTTTAAAGGTCACCTCGCATGTGTTCTCACCTATGGCGAGGCCAGAGGAAAATTCCTGAAGCAGCAGAGTTTTAGTGAGGGATGGAAGCCAGGCTGCTATGGAAGGGGCAGAGCCTCTTGTCCAGTTCATCATGTTACAGATGTAGACCCTGGAGCTGTGCTTTGTTCCCTGAACTACAGGTGCTTATGTGGTCAATAGGAGACACAGGAAGGCCTTTTAAATATGAACAACATGTGGTGGGATGGTTGAAACCAGAGAAGGGGGTTTCTGTTGTCACCTGGGTCTTACGAGCTGATAGTTATCTCTGCTTTCTAGGGGGTCACTAGCTTATTCCCAAGATGAGGGACACGGAGTAGAAGGATGGGGAAGACAGGTTGGAATCCCTGCTGAGAACCAGAAGCTGCATGCGTGCTGGGTGTATGTAATGCCCCTCCCTGCCTGGCTTCTCCAGATTTTTCTGTCCTGCCCATCACTGAACACACCACCTTAGTGGCTGGTTTCTAATCTAGTCCTTACTCTGGAAAGGTAAATTGTCTTTAAAACAAAAACAAACCAAAAGAAAGAGCAGTGAGATCTCTCAGCAGGTAAAGTCCCTTGCTGTGCGTGCCTGTCAACCCAAGTTCACATCCCAGAATCCATGGCAAAAGGAGAGAACCAATCCCAGAAAATTGTCCTTTGGCCTCCACATATGCGCCATGACACACAAGTTTGCACTCTCACACACATACATAACTTTTTTTAATGAGAAAGTTTTAGGGACTGGGGAGGTGGTTCAATTGGTAAAGCATTTGCAGCACAAGCATGAGGACCTAAGTTTAATCCCCAGAACCCATGAAAAAAGGCCAGCATGGAGGCATGTGCTTGTAAGCCCTGTACTGGGGAGGTGGAGACAGAAGGGTCCCTGGGCTCACTGATGAGACAACCTAGCCAGATAGATGAGTTCCAGGTAAAATGAGAGAGCTGTCTTGGAAGACAAGGTGGAAAGTGACTTAAGGAAGACACCAGAGATTGACCTGTGCCCTCTACATGCATGTGGACACCTGTGAGGCTGTGTACTTGTATTAGTCACTGTTCTGTTGCTGTGATAGAAACACTGACCAAAGCAATTTATAGAAGGAAGAGTTTATTTGAGCTTACGGTTCCAGGGGAATTACAGTCCATCATGGCAGGGAGGCATGGTGGCTGAGGTGGCTGGAACAGGAGCAGCAGAAGTGAAGCTCTCACATCATCACGTAGGCACAGGAAGCAAGAGAGCAACTCAAGATCCTGCAAGGCTTAAGGATTCTCTAAGCCCACCCCCAGTGACATGCTTCCTCCAGGATAACCACACCTTCTAAAGCCTCCAAAAACAGCACTATCATCTGGGGACAAAATGTCCAAACACTTGGCACCTATGGGAGACATTTTCATTCAAACCACCACAGCCATATATAACAAACCCACAGCCAACATCATTCTAAATGGAGAAAAACTGGAAGCATTCCTATTGAAATCAGGGACCAAACAAGGCTGTCCACTATCTACTTCTCTTTAACATAGTGCTTGAAAGGTGGAACTGAATACACATTACCATTCCAAAAGGGAAGAATGGAGGCATAATATGGAAATACTGGACCAAAACAAAATGGAGATCAAATTATCCCTTTTTGCAAATGATATGATATTATATCTAAGAGACACCAAAAATTCCACCAGAAAACTAGAAATTATTAACACGTTCAGTAAAGTGGCAGATTACAAAACTAACCTACAAAAGTCTGTAGAGTTTCAACATACCAATAACAAACTATCAGAGAAAGAGCACAGGGAAACACTCCCCTTCACAATAGCTGTAAAAAAATAAATTTCAGAATAAACCTCACCAAAGACATTAAAGTCCTCTACAATGAAAATTTTAAATCTTTTAAAAAAGAAATTGAGGAAGACATCAGAAGATGGAAGGACCTCGCATGCTCATGGATTGGAAGAATTAATATTGTGAAAATGACCACCCTACCAAAAGCCATTTATAGATTCAATGCAATGCCAATCAAAATCCCCATGACATTTTTCACAGAATTGGAAAAAAAATCCTAAGATTCATAAGGAAGCACAAAACACCTCAGATAGCCAAAGCAGCCTTGAGCACTAAGAGCAATGCTGGAGGAAATGCTACACCAGATTTTAAGCTGTACTACAGAGCTATAGTCATAAAAACAACATGGTACTGGCACAAAAATAGACCCATAGATCAATGGAACAAAATTGAAGACCCAAATATGAGTACATGTAATTTCAGCCACCTGATATTTGACAAAGGGGCCAAGAACATTCACTGGAGGAAAGACAGCATGTTCAGCAAATGGTGCTGGCAAAACTGGATCTCCCCCTGTAGAAGAATGAAACTAAACCCCTATCTTTCACCTTGCACAAAAGTCCATTCCAAATGGATCAGAGACCTTGATGTAAAGCCTGAAACTCTGAAGCATTAATAGCCACACTACCATTTCTACATTAGGTTGTCTTGAAATTTCTTCCGCCAGAGAATTTAGTCCATGGCTTTTCAACTTAGCCTCAGGCAAGCTTTTAGGTTGAGGGCAGACTCCAGCCAGACTCTTTGGCTAAAATATCCCAAGTGCTGCTTAAGTTCTTATTTCCCTCTGGAACTACATTGTTCTCAGCACTGCTTTCTTCCAGGCATTTACTAGAACTGCCTGTTAAGCTTTGTTTACAGCAGTCAACCACTTTTCTAGCCCAAACTTCCAAAGTCTTCCACATTTTTCCAAAACTCCACATGGTCAGGTTCTTCACAGTTAACAGCCCACTCTCTGGTACCAATTATTGTATTAGTCACTGTTCTGTTGCTGTGATAGAAACACTGACCAAAGCAATTTATAGAAGGAAGAGTTTATTTGAGTTTACGGTTCCAGGGGAATTACAGTCCATCATGACAGGGAGGCGAGGTGGCTGGAGGTGGCTGGAACAGGAGCAGCAGAAGCAAAGCTCTCATATCATCACTAGGCACAGGAAGCAAAGAGGGTGACTGGAGATCTAGCAAGGCTTAAGAACTCTCTAAGTCCACCCTCAGCGACGTGCTTCCTCCAGGATAGCCACACCTTCTAAAACCTCCCAAAACAGTGCCATCATCTGGGGACAAAATGTCCAAACACTTGGAGCCTATGGGGGACATTTTCATTCAAACCACTTACATAAGAACATATACACACAAACACATCAGTAGCTGGGTGTGGTGGCACATACCTTTAATCCCAGCACTCACGGGGGAGGGGCAAGTGGATCTCTGAGTTCAAAGCCAGCCTGGTCTACATAGCAAGTCCTAGGCCAGCCAGTGCTATGAAGTGAGACCCTGTTTCAAAAAATAAAAGGCTGGAGAGATGGCTCAGCAGACCTGGGTTCAATTCCCAGTACCCACATGGCAGCTAACAACTATAACTCCAGTTCTAAGAGAAACCAGCACCTTCCTCAGACCTCACGGGCATTGCATGACATGGGTGAACTTACATATATGCAGGCAATACACTCATGCACATAAAAAATTTTTTTTAATAAAAAATATGGGACTGGAGAGATGGCTTAGTGGTTAAGACCATTGGCTGCTCTTTCAGAAGACCCAGGTTTGAATCCCAGCACCCATATGGCAGCTAACAACTCCAGTTCCAGGGGATCTGAGACCCTCTTCTGTCCTCTGAGAGCAGTGCATGACAGGGGTGCACTTACATGCAGGCATAATAGTCATACCCATAAAATAAATAATTTTTTTTAATCAAAAATATGCAGGCCAAAAAAATTTTGTTAGAAAGAAAATTTTTATTTTGGAAGAGGAACTCTAAGATGTTGGGAGTCCCTAGGAACATGGGACTTTGTCACCTTCAGCAGAGGCATTGGACTTTAGGACAGTAACACCACACAATGTATGCCACTGTTTCCAGAAAAGTTGGGGGTTAATCATGCTGCATAGCATAAAGCCGTGTATATTGTGGTCAGGATTTCTTCTTGGAGTAAACCTCAAGAGTTCTGTCTGCAGGGACAACTGGTCCCATCAATAGAACACAGGATGGGAATACAGTGAGCAGTCAGGGTTCAGAGGGGCAATGGACTGTTATCCCCTCCCCCCTTCTTAGTATTCTGAGTCACTACCCAGCAAGCCTCATCCAAAGCTTGGGTCAGGACTGTCGTCTGCCCTTGGGATGCCACAGAGCCTGGATTCAGAAGCAGAACAATAATGCTACTTAAAACATCATGTTCTGGCCTATAGGAGACAGCAACTGGTTCTAGAGTAAGAAATCATTTTAAAGAAATTGCAGCATGCTAGCCCATAGAGGAGGGGAACTGGCCCTTGGCCTTGGCCCAAGTGTGTGCACTGAGCCACCGTCTCCCTAGGGACCAGCTGGGATGGGCCTACTGAGATAGGGTCAGAAAGACCTCTTTTAAAATAATAATAATAATAATAATAATAATAATAATTTTAGACAGTTGTTCTTGTTTTTCTATCATGTATTTTGCCATGCCTCACACAGGTTTGGGCCAAAATCTCCTTTTTCTGGAAAAATGAAATAGGGAAATA